AAGGAGTCAGAGCTCTTCATTTCTCAGTCTCAAGGTTGTTTATTGTTTCTTATCTATAAAATTTTTTCTCCTGTCCAGCTGAGGTCCGCTCAACAGGTCAGACAGAGGCACTCTGCCTGCCCTGGGGTGGTGTTGTCTTTTTATACTAAAAACTACGTGTACAATATTTACAATAACTTCCCAATACCCATCACCTGTGTTAGACAGTGAGTTTCTGCTCTAAACCAATCCTAAAGTGCCAACATCACAGCAGGAGATGGAGGCCAAGAAGAAGAAGGAGAAAGGCCGGACATGCCCAGATCCCTCCATTTTGCCTTCTGAACCTCCATTCTAAAAACCCCAAAATCTATTTTTTCACCCCATGATAAATTCACTATTATTCTACTTAAACTGTCGTGGCCTGCAGATCTTCATCTGAGGTTGGTAATTTGCTCCAGGGGTGATAATCCAAACCACAGGGGCATCGTGGGCTCTGTGCCAGGGTCTCTGAGCCCCCTGGCAGGGTTTGGGCATCCAGGACAGCCAGAGGGATGCCCTGAATTCCGACTTCTTCCCATTGTCATAACCATGTAATAAAACTGATGCTGGAAAATCAAACAGCTCAAGGCACGTTCCAGCAGCCCTGTCCTGTTTGGGATTTGTGCAGAGAGCCTGGCCGGTGATAAAAGGCACCTTCATTCCCTGGATTTCACAGGGTGAGAATGGGAATCAGCTTGGGAAAACAGGGAACCAGTGGAGCTTTCTGGGGAAGAGAGCAGAGACTCCAAGAGCTGATCCCAGAAATATCAGAGCTGATGTCACCAGCTCCGAGTGACACCACCCACGTCCTCAAGGGGACATTGCCAGGGTTGATGGGACTGTGTTGGACACATTTACTGTGTCCTTTCATGGCTGTCAGTAAATCTCTGACTCTTCGTTTATAAGTTTATTTACAGAGCACAAAACTCCCCCAAAATGTGAATTTTACTATTAAACCCCATTCAGGTGGGAAAGAGAAGCTCATAAGCTCAAACTGGGAATTAACATCATCTGGCAAAGTGACAGGAACAGCTTCTAAACACTTTTAAAGTCCAGAAAACGCTCCAAAAATGGCTAAATCAAATTAAAAAACTCCTTTTTAGAGGGAGAATGGCCACGTCCAAACCACCAGATGTGCTGCCCTACAACAGGAGTGGTAACTCCTCACCCCACAACATCCTCATGGTGCTCCTGCACCACACACTAAAGGTCAGCACTGGAAAATGCTGTTTTCACCAAGAATTTTTGCTTCCCAGGGCCTGGCATCCATCACCAGCATAGAATTAATTTTGGTTGCATTAAAAGAAGTGGTATTAATAATTTAGTGATTATTGTTTTATATTTTGATATTAAAATTATAATAACATCATGATCATTTTGATTGTTTATTTGTTATAAAATATTTGATAATAAATTAAAATTATCATAGATATATCATATATATTTATGATAAAATATTTATTTATGATTAAATTTATGATTATTTTTCACATACTGTGTATACAATATTACGTATAATGATGCATTGTGAATAAGAATGAAAATTTTTGAATTTTAGAGATATCTAGAGATCTGTGCCT